ATTAAAGTTGGCTATTAAATTTAAAAATTGCGATAATTTTAAAGTGGTCCAATACTTTTGACCGGGGAGTGTACATAAATGAAGAAAAATTCTTGAACGATCTCACTATATTAATGATGAATTTTAGCCAATCAACGTAAAGAAAAAAAGATGGTTTCATCGGAATGGATCTTCAAAATCAAACTCCGACTAATTAAAATTTCATCTCCGATCCATTAAGTGTTTGAGAACGCCCTTAGTTAGTATAAATCTAATACGGCTTCACGGTTGGCTTTAGATGTAAACCCACCGCTTTTGACAGGGAGTTCTTTAAAGTTTATTGTACACGTTTCGAAATTATTCAACACACAGAATTCTTTATTTGCTAGATTTAGTTTTTTTTTTATAATATTTTGTTTTTATGAACTGTTATATACCTGAAATATTTTATTCAAATCAAGTCATGAGACCATTCAACCGAACATAGCGACAAACTTATTATAAGAAATCGTAATTTGTATAAGAATTATCAGTAGAATTTAACTGTTCTATAATCTTTAAATATTTTCATTAAGTGAAACACGATTAAAAAGTTCTACGCAAAAAAGAAAAAGTTATAACGTGTCGAAGATTTTATACCATTAGGATCTCCAATTCGATTATAGTGATCTTAATAACTTTAAAAAGTTAGCTTTTAGAGTCATTGTCTCCAAATTTGGGTAATAAAGGTTATATTGGCACCCTTTTGCATACGATAAGAACCAATGATATATCGGACATATATATTAATAATATTATTCGGCTCGGGCATTGTATAAATCATTTTCATTCATAGCCATAAAAGGAGTGGGGGGGGAAGAAAAAGAAAGAAATTCAAAGAATTTACGATCGTCAAACGCAAAATCTTTACTTAATCATTATACTGCTTCTTATTGTCCTTTTTATTTAAAACTTTTTTCCGAGAATATCATAATAAAATATAATAATAAATAAAATTAAATTAAATTTTTCATTCATATTTCTAAATTGAAATCGCTAATGTGTATGTACGTCTGCGCATAATGATTCCTTCCTTATCATTAAAAATATTCCAATTTCGTTTGTTTGGATCGGTCATAAGTCTTAATGTTGATTGATTATGGAACCCTCGATTTTTTTTTTTTTTTTAAAAAAAAAAAAAAAAAAAAAAAATACAAAAAAGCCTCAAATCCGAACGGTGGTTTTTTTAATTAGCCTGTGTCACAGGCCGCGCTGATTGTGACTGATTGCGCCTAATGATGAATATTTCAATAACCATATTTGTGGAAGTTGAAATACTCTCCCTATTTCTGTATTTGTAAAGGTTTCGTTTTTCTGTTTTGAATCTGGAATAATTTAGATACTAAAAAGCGATCTCTCTTGTAAGCTTTGGAGTGCCATTCATTAATAAAAGATTGATTAATTCAGGTTTGAATTTTAATCAATCAATTAATGATGTATTCGTTGTATACCAGAACCAATGAAGTTGTTCCAATAAATCGAATCTTCTTTTTTAACTTTATAAATCCTTTTCATTAAAAGCATGTGAAAATAGATCTACCCATCAAACAAAAATCACCTCATTATAATGGAGCAAATACAAAAATCCGGTTAATAAAATATTCATTCATTTAAAAAAAGAAATACTTTTTTTTTTTTGAAAGGAATAAGTAAACATTTTAAAAATTTTGAATATTCGTCATTTTTTATTTACAAATAGACCGACCGACCCTCATTTCATTTTCATTATTTTCATTGAAATTCCATATATGGCTTTTGATAAGCAACTTTTATTCTGTTATTTTTGATTTTTTTTTAAAAAAAAAAAAATCGTTAGCCTATTTATCTTTTTATCGATTTGGTATCCTTTTAGAGGGTAGGGTTTAGTGGATTTTGATATACCTCATGTAATTTACCAACACTGGAATTCGGCCGGAAACTTTTCGTCGCTAATCAATTAAGTATCTTTGCAGAGTTTAAGTGACATGCGTAGCTAATTTCAGGTTATAGGAAGCAGAAATTATACTCTCTGTTGTTGCATTTTTATTTATATCAAAAACCAATAATAAATGTAAAAAAATATGTTATATTTCAGATTAAAAGTAAATACTTTTTATTTAAACAATGTTTTGTAGGAACATTTTTTTAATACCAAAATATCACTTTTCCCTTCGCAAAAGGGAAAGAGAACAAATTGTAAATAAAAAAAAAAAAAAAACTTTTTCTTAAATAATAAATGTACATCTATTTCTAATAATAATAATAGCTAATACGAAAAATTGAAGTGATCACAAATTACCAACTTTGAAAATTAATAAATATTTTTATACTTATATTTTAAACTAAAATTTTACAATAATGTACAATTGGAAACTTATCCTGAAATACGTCTATATAGTTCATTAAAATAATAAAAAATAAAAAAAAATGTCGGTGCTTTTAAGGAAATGAAAATCCATTATAAAATTCGTCGACATTGGTGATGACACTCGATTGAGGTGGAAGATTAACGATGAGATTCAAATTTGTAGAGTTGTTGATTCGAAAATTAAGACGTCGAGGACTCCTGCCATACAGACGTAAATTTCGTCGATTCCTTCTTGCTCTCGAAGAACTTTGATTATTAATTAGGGGTAGATGTCTATAATTCTGCGTATTAGACATTATTGTTATGATTCTTTTAAATAAATCCTTTTTTTATTATTATTTTTTTTTTTTTTGGTGAATTTTTTTGTAATGACCTCTCCTTATATGTGTGTTTTTTAAAGTATTTTGTATATATAAATTATATAAAAATATTATCAAATAATTATTTATATATATACATTGATCTAATCAATTACAAAATATATGTGATCATTTATAAATTTGACATCGGAGTCTCGAAAGTAACAATTTTGCGTCCTTTACGACCACATTCGGAAGAGATATCTTCAAAATTCTTTGTTAGGTCGGGTAAACAACAAATAATTAACGAAATTTTCAGCCTATTACATATGCATGGACACATCATAAATATTAACTAATTTTATTAATTATAGGGTAAGATTTACTACTTAATTTGTGTTAGTTACTTTGTAAATCAAAACCTTTGTGAAACACCATTGAAAAATTTCTAGCGCAAAAATAATTAAAGAGAACTTTTCGAAAATATTTCTCATTTTCTTGGAGGTTTTAAAATAAATGATTTCATTATCTATTTATAGCTCGCCAATCGGTTTCATACCGATTATCACGTCTTTAAACTCTTTGAAAAATTCTATAAATATTTACATATTTTCAGTATATATTTTCCACGTTACGAATCATTGTATCCAATTTTGGATATAAAGATCATATTAATTTAATTATATAAATCGAAAATATTGACACCAAAGTTATTTACTTTCCGTTAATATTAATAAAGATTTCTTTGCCAAAATTTTAAAAGAGAAGAAAGAAAAGAAAAAATTTATCTTTAATGTCATAAAATGGTATTGCATTTAAAATATACACAATCTGTTATTGGGTGGGGACGAACGTTGTTAAATAATTTAATTAATCGGATTTCTATTGTTTTTCAAATACGATTATTCCGCCGAGACTGATTTAATTAAATAATTTGTCTAAGGACCATACGGGTAAATTTCTTTTATTTGTTTATTAATAATAAGTTTCAAACATTCATTTATTTCATTTCTAAAATTAAATTACAAAAAAAAAAAAAAAAAAAAGACGCCTGATGTTCATTACTTGCATTTTATATATTAAAATATCCCGGGCCTATCTTTGAAAATGTGTTTCCTTCCAACTTCGATTTAACGAATTTCGAATTTTCTTTATAACAAAGATAAATTATTTGTGATACCAATGGTTTTATTGCAAATCTTTGTTATTTAAAATGAAAACAACGCGATCAAGATTTTGCGTTACATTGTATTTGAACTAGTGTCACTGTTACAAAGCACGCCATGATTGTACAATAGAGTGCACACGTCGGCGATGTGTATCGTTTAAGTCATTATCACTACTAGATTAATAATATTTATTAAATTTGGATCATACAGAGTTTCCTGATCTTTATGGCGCTAACTTCGGTTCTTACGTACATTACACGAATAAAAAATATGAGATTCCGAATTTTTTATTATACATAAATGGGACTGTCGATCTGAATTTGAATACGGAATTAGTCATGCTTATCATTGTTTGTTTGTTAATGAATAATCTGCATGCATGAATTAGGACACCTTAAAAATGCGAATCTAATTATTATTTTTTTTTTTAAACAAATATATTAACAAACAAATCATACCATGCGTTCGATTAATAATAGTTAATTCCGCCAACAAGTATTCTGCAAATCTATTATTACCTGTTATTTGTGGAGGAAGTGCATTGATTCTTTTCAAGATCTCACGATTATCAAAGGTTTGTCCTTGTCGAATTTCGTTCTTTTCTGTATAGACCGTGATCGTCAACATATCATTTTGTTGAATCGAAAGCAATCAAAAATTTTATTATTTGTAATCTATAGGTCAATTTTGATTTGAATCATTTTATTCAATGTTTAATGTCCTTTTAAAAAATTTTAAAGAGTATAAATTCTTTGTTTTGACAATCAACTTTTCAAGAGAATTGACAAAGGTAACTACATTTCTTGTAAATAGATACTAATTTTAAAATACAAAACTATAGTGATACATAATGATAAAAGATAAATCGTGATTGGGTTAAGCAAATGCATCTGACTTTATACAGATTTTTATAAAAATAGTGTTATAAAATTTATAATTTAAATGTGTATAGTAATTTGTTGGATTTATTGAAGGTTTTCAAAGCGTAAAGTTATTTTCTTTCTTTTTTTTTTTTAATAAAATATCGAAGTTGAATTTGTGATAGCGAATTGATAAAATTACAAGTTTACGAATGAACCACTCATGGAAATGAGAGCCCATTGAAAAATTCATCCACACGAGCATCATTACTTGATTGTAGCGGAAGATTAGCGATCCAATTGGTTAGTACACGACGACGACGAATTTGTGATCTTTGAAGTGGTCCGTTGGAATTTATAATTTGCCTCGTTCGTCTTCTCGTTCTTCTTCTCGTTAAATTTCGATTTCGATTATTGTCAAGAGGTGAAGACATGATTTTTTTAATTGAAGTTATTTTTTTTTTTTTTTTGTTCTTTTTTTTTTAAAAAAATATTTGACTTTCCAATTGCATCCTTTTATTCTTTCGCGTACATTTTTATTCTTTATTTTCTAGATTTAGTTAACGCTACCGAATGTTTCAGATAATATTTTTTGTGTCCTGCATTAGTTAAGTTAGGTAGAAAAAAGTTTGGTATGTATTTCCGATAATAATTATCGCCGAAAAGAAGGCCGATGATGATTTATTTTCGTGTAAATTGTTAAATAATTGTTTGATATTGATACTGCAATAAAGTGTACAACTTTAATATTTTTAGTTAGACTATATTCAATGAATTTATTTTTTTTTAAAAAAAAACAAGCTTAATTAATTATTAATATGTTTCAAAAAAATCCTTTTCGTCAGTAAGTGTCCTACATTTGTACATTAAGTTGAAAGTATGTTATGCATCCAACAATGATTATCGCCGAGGAGAACACGATGAAATAGTCGCGCATAAACGTATAAAGAAATCTATGCAACTTTGTTGTTAATTGAATTTGTTTTCATTTAAAAAGTTGACACGGAATCATATTCCTCCCCACCTCCTTAAAGCCGAGCAAATCCACAAACGAGTTCATTATGGTCAACAACGATTAGTAAACAAAAAACCTGTTAATTTGCTGTCGAAGAGATAATTATCGCAATAATCAAGCTTTTGTTTTGTATAAGCCACTTTCCATATTAAATCACCCATTACTTTGAATTGTCACTGAGAATGGGATCTTATGACGTTTTATTAATTCTATTGGCTGCTTTTTCAACGTGCAGGTAAATAATATTTTTTTTTTTGTTGTGGCGGTTACACAAAAATGTTTACTAATAATAGATTTTTTTTTTAATTTTATCTAAAAAAGATGATTGAAAGTCATTCACAAGATCTATGATCATCAAAATGATCAACGCTTCACGCATTAAAATGGATAGAACTCTCTTAAAATAGGACTGCCTCTTTTAATATTGTTCTATTTAACAAAGTTTTTATATTAATAATTATAGGATTACATCAACCTTGTTTTCCCTTTTAGATTTAACGTTTTACGGTTGTAACATTTTTTATCCACTCAAAGAATTTTTAGAATGATGATGATTTCGTACTTCATTACGGACTTTATAGTCCTAATGCAAAAAAACTTTTTGTGCGACACATTAAGTGCATTATCTGAAAACGTGATTACTGTATGTAGTGTGATACTAAGCCCGACCCAAAATTCCAAAATTAGCATATGCAATTGTAGTAAGCCACAAATTATCAACGCGATCATATTTATTTTTTATTTTATTTATATTTTATACCTTTTTATTTTTCTAATCAACCATCTTTGATGATATGAGTACCGTGTAGGTCTTTGGAAATGTTAAATTTGAAACGACCCCTTTATGAGATAATATGAAATGATTGTTGAACAAATTGAAGAAATTACCAACCATTTCTGATCATACGCGCGAGTGATCATCTTATTTAACATTTTAATAGTTGGATCATCACTTGAAATACCACAGGAATTTAGATTTTCCCCCCAAAAATATGTAATTTTTTTTAATAATTAAAATTTTCGAATGAATTGTGCTTTTTTGTTGAACAAAATGACCTTTGTAATTGAAACTTGATGATAAATTGGTGATCCGTGACTTGCATGTACCCGAACCCGATCAAACTCGTTAATTCGGATATTACATCTAACTTGGTAATATGTTTTTGTAACCACCAATACTGAGGAAATGGTTGTTAAAGGTTCACAATATAAACAATCGAACATGTTTATTTCGCAGATTGTTCAAAGTATAGAAAAAAAAGATGCATTTATGTTTGAAGTTACAATTCCTAAGGAACAATTCAATTTTTTTTTTTTTTTACCTAAATATAGCTATTCATAAATTTAGTTCTTCTCATTCATGTTTTATTTTTAAATCTTTTTTTATTTTGCTTGGCAAATTCTTGGTATTTTACTTTTTATTTTTTTTTGAGAAAGTTTTGTTACGTAAATTAGTTTCGTTTGATTTCTTTTTCAAGTTATTACATTTTTCGGAAACTAGTATTAGATAGATAAATTCTTTTTTTCTATCTGAAGAATGTCTTGTAGTCTAAAAAAGAAACTATTCATTATATCCTTCCTTTCTTTTTTTTAAAAAAAAATATAATAAAGATATATTCATAATTCTCTTTTTTTTTTTTAAAAAAAAAAAAAAAATTCCAATAAGTTTAATTTACAAAATAATGAGTTTTTTTTTTATAGATTATAAAGATACATTGGCATTAATTAAAATCATTAAAATGATGTGTCATTGCAGACATTTACTATTTATTAGCATTGATGAGCTCAAATTATTATTTATATAATTATTATTATTTATTATTATTGATATATTATTATTATTTTATAGTCAAACTAAAATAATATCAATAGTGTCGGAATTGGGAAATCGATCCGGATAATAAGTCATAACGACACGACCCGGTTCATTTTGTTTTGCACTTAAAACTATATGCTGTCGGGTCGGTTCTAGTTTTATACGAGTCGGAACACTAATCTATGACTATTGACAGATTAACAAATCCAAAATCCTCTACGATTTCTTTATAAGCAATGATAGTTGATTTATTTTGAAAAAAGAAAAAAGAAGTAGACGAAAAAATTACTAACTTATAAAGTCATTTTGAATTGAGTTTGATAATGATTTTATAACATACTTGAGAAATATAACAATCTTTTGCTTATTTATATAAGAAGAAAAATTTTAAAACACCAACGTTTGTCCCGACAACCGACAGTTCATAAACATTACTAGAACGGTCTAATACACTAACCTAATTCTATAATAATCCTAATTAAACCATCTGGTTTCTTGACCATCAATCTTGACCGTCAGGATTTTGTCGGGACCCTTGAATGACGGATAATGTGTTCGTCAAGATTTATGCCCGTCGGGATTTGTGTGTCGGAATCTATTGCAGTCGAGATATTGGACGTCGGGATTATCGTTGTCGGGATTTTTATGGGAACCTATTTTATCAAAATAAATTACTTTATTTAGCCATGTCAAATAATTTTTTTTTTCATTACGCAATAATTTCTAAACCGAAATGTCCAAGCATATTAAATTATTCTTATTTAGATATTTGGATTAATTACGGTATTCGACACAAAATGTATTAATTGTGTGACACATAAATCAATGAATTGTAATTGTAATTGTAATTGTAATCTTTATTATATTAATTATATTACCATAGTCACTCTTGATGAATTTAATTCGAAAGTATATAATTATACGGATGGATTGTAATACATCAATAATAGGTAATACTAAGTATTACTATTATTTCCTGCATGATCTCCGGAGAGAATC